CAGGGACTCCATGCGAGACGGACTAAAATTTGGACTAAAGTGACCGAAAGCAAACATTGAGGACTAACGTGTAAAACTGGCTCAAAATGGCGTCGTTTTGACGCTAGACCGTTAAAATTAAAAGCCCAGGGCACTGTCGGGCCCGAGCTTCCCCCATTCTGCAGCCTCTCCTTCCTTTTTTCACTTCGTTCCCGTTCTGCAGCAACCCCTGCTCCGTTCCGTTCTCCAATCCAGTCATCATCCTTGGACCCACCTTCATCCAAACCTAGAAAAAGCAGCAGTTTCAATCCACGTGGCAGCACCTTTGGAGCCCTGAGATGGTCCCCTCTTCACTGTTATTATTATTATTATTATCATTATTATTATTATTAAGAACAAGTTCAACCAAAACCCCAATTTTCAAGTAAGTAATCATGTTTGACATGAAGAATTGTAAAGTATATCTATAGTCTTCTTCATTCCTAATCAAATCCTTGAATCATGAAAGATTAGGATTCACAATGAGTCACTCCACTAATAGATGGGTAAGTGGCAATTTTAAAGTAAGTAATCATGTTTGACATGAAAAATTATAAAGTATACTTATATCCTTTTTTCATTTTTAACTGAATCTTTAAATCGTGAAAGATTAAAATTCACAATGACTTATTCTACCATTAGATGAGTAAGTGGTGACTCTATTTTTTTAATTATAAGAACTTAATTTTTCAATAAATTTTATTTTTTAAAATTTTAAGTGAGGTGTCAAACAATAACAAGTCCAACTTTGAGAATATGCTTTGTCTCATTCTAATCCCTTTAGAAGAAAATTCAGTTTATTTCAAAAGAGTGAAACATAGAAGAAGAGCAAAAGGTGCCATCTTTGAGGTCAAGAAATGAGCTGCCAAAATTTACTAACTGGGAACTTTCAATATTCTTCATATATACATGACAGAGAAGCAGTACTGTCTGTAGCTCTGTAAGAACTCCTAACTGAACCCAGCTGTCGGTGTCCCGAGTAAAGACTGAAGTGTAGTTAACAACTTTTCCCATGGTGGGCTCTCCTTCCAGTCCCCCATGGCTTGGATGGTAACCAAGGCATCTCTCCCCTTTTAGATTTTTCTAACACACAACCATGTTCTATTGGAACCCCTTTCGTTTTCACATTTTACGAGGGAACTATCATTTTGGTTTTTTTGTTTTTTTGTTTTTATAATAAAAAGTAATTTTTTTCATTGTTCAATTCATTTTATCTCCATATCTTATGAATTAAATTCAAAATTTTTTATTTTTAATAAAAAAATTATTATTAAATTATGTAAGTTATTGACTAAAAAAATCTATCTTGTTAGTCCCAGCTTGGTGGACTAAAACCACATCTCCATCTACTTTCATAAATCAAAATACCATAAAATATCTATATATATAGTGAAAAATGATTTTGTATTTGAGCGGTGGTGACCACCATAACCATTTATATAATCTCTTTTCTTCAACTCACACGTTAGCATAAATGAACTTTATTGATGACTTTCTTTGTCCAATCTTTTTTTATTTTCCTCTCTTTTCTTCAAGGTAAAACAAGTCAGTCTGGCCATTCATCTCAAACATGTATTATAATTCAATTTATAATGAAATCATAAATTCTCAAAATTCAAGGCGATTAAACGGATTTTAACTGAATTAGAGAAGTGATGGCCAAAAAAAAAAAAAAAACTGAATTAGAGAAGTGAAACGAATCTAAAATAATGCGCCGTGCAAAATGGTTTAGTATGAGGTAATTGACAATGAAAGGAAGTTGTGTGCAGAGGAGAAGCCTAGTTGACTAGTGTAATTTTGGGCACATGGTGGCCTCATTGGCCTGTCAATCAGTGCAACTTTCTTCTTCTGATTGTCTTACCAATCTTCTCCTTGCTTTGCGGACTCTGCCCAGAGCCATCCAACACAGATCACAACACAATACCGCGTTGGCTTCGCTCCTATTGTTATGATACAATCA